TGTTACTGGGTACAACAAGGGGCAAAGATGGACTGCATAAGTTACCGGGGACTGCAGCACTCACACATATACACACCGTGTTACTGGGTACAACAACGGGTAAAGATGGACTGCACAAGTTACCGGGGATTGCAGCACTTCACACATACACACACCGAGTGTTACTTGGTACAACAAGGGGCAAAGATGCACTGCACAAGTTACCGGGGACTGCAGCACTCACACATACACACACCGAGTGTTACTGGGTACATCAAGGGGTAAGGATGGACTGCACAAGTTTACGGGGACTGCAGCACTTCACCCATACACACACTGAATGTTACCGGGTACAGCAACGAGTAAAGATGGACTGCACAAGTTACTGGGGACTGCAGCACTCACACATACACACACCATTATAGCCAAATAACAAAATTAAAGCAATCTGCCTAGAGGAAAGTTCGTCGAGGCATCCCAAGGTAAATTCACAACTTACGCATGCATCAAGATTAGTGAAAGCACAAGTTTGAGAGCACCCAATCCAGCGGAAAGTTCACCGAAGTATCCCAAGGTAATTCGCAACTTAGACATGCATCAAAATTAGTGAAGGCACAAGTTTAAGAGCACCTAATCCAGCGGAAAGTTCACTGAAGCATCCCAAGGTAATTCGCAACTTAGACATGCATCAAAATTAGTGAAGGCACAAGTTTGAGAGCATCTAACCCAGCGGAAAGTTCACCAAACTATCACAAGGTGAATCGCAACTTACCCAAGCACCCAAATCAGAGACAACACAAGATTTGAAGCATCTACCCAAGGGGAAACATCACCAAACTATCACAAGATGAATCGCAACTTACCCAAGCACCCAAATCAGAGACAACACAAGATTTGAAGCATCTACCCAAGGGGAAACATCACCGAACTATCACAAGCTGCATCGCAACTTACCCAAGCACCCAAATCAGAGACAACACAAGCTTTGAAGCAATCTATGAAGGGGAAACATCACCGAACTATCACAAGGTGAATTGCAACTTACCCAAGCACCCAAATCAGTGAAAACACAAGATTTGAAGCACCTACCCAAGGGGAAACATCACCGAACTATCACAAGGTGAATCGCAACATACCCAAGCGCGCAAATCACTGAAAACACAAGCTTTGAAGCAATCTATGAAGGGGAAACATCACCGAACTATCACAAGGTGAATCGCACCTTACCCAAGCCCCCAAATCAGTGAAAACATAAGATTTGAAGCAATCTATGAAGGGGAAACTTCACCGAACTATCACAAGGTGAATCGCAACCTACCCAAGCACCCAAATCAGTGAAAACACAAGATTTGAAGCACCTACCCAATAGGAAACATCACCGAGCTATCAGAAGGTGAATCGCAACTTACCCAAGCCCCCAAATCAGTGAAAACACAAGATTTGAAGCAATCTATGAAGGGGAAACATCACCGAACTATCACAAGGTGAATCGCAACTTACCCAAACACTGAAATCAGTGAAAACACAAGATTTGAAGCACCTACCCAAGGGGAGACATCACCGAACTATCACAAGGTTAAAAGCAACTTACCCAAGCCCCCAAATCAGTGAAAACACAAGATTTGAAGTAATCTATGAAGGGGAAACATCACCGAACTATCACAAGGTGAATCGCAACATACCCAAGCACCGAAATCAGTGAAAACACAAGATTTGAAGCACCTACACAAGGGGAAACATCACCGAACTATCACAAGGTGAATCGCAACTTACCCAAACACCCAGATAAGTGAAAACACAAGCTTTGAAGCAATCTATGAAGGGGAAACATGACCGAACTATCACAAGGTGAATTGCAACTTACCCAAGCACCCAAATCAGTGAAAACACAAGCTTTGAAGCAATCTATGAAGGGGAAACATCACCGAACTATCACAAGGTGAATCGTAACTTACCTAACCCCCCAAATCAGTGAAAACACAAGATTTGAAGCAATCTATGAAGGGAAAACATCACCGAACTATCACAAGGTGAATCGCAACTTACCCAAGCCCCCAAATCAGTGAAAACACAAGATTTGAAGCAATCTATGAAGGGAAAATATCCCCGAACTATCACAAGGTGAATCGCAACTTACCCAAACACCCAAATCAGTGAAAATCGCAGTTGTGACAAAATGAGGAGGGGGAGAAGGGGGAGAAAAAGAAAAGGAAGAAGGAGAGGAAGAAGAAGAAGAAGAAGAAGAAGAAAAAGAAGAAAAAGAAGAGGAAGAAGGAAAAAAAGCAGAAGAGGGAGAAGAAGAAGAAGAGGAAGAAGAAGGAGAAGGAGGAGGCCTCCCTCCTCTTTCACTCACCTCTTGCTGGTGTTTAGGCAGTGGAGTCCCAATGCTTGGTTCTAGCCTCCTGGGTATGGCTTTTCCTCTCTCCCAAGCTCTCTCTTTCTTCCCTCACACTTGTCCTTTAGCTATGGCAGGTTCCTACTTCTAAGGCTGTTAAGTCCTTCCCTCTAGAAGGGCTATGGGGACCCCTTTCAGCCTCTCCTCCTACTTCACAGCCTGAGGGCTATGGCAGACTACTTTCCTTGCTCCCTCATAGCCTCTAGGTCACCTTTCTCAGCCTTACCACCATAGCGAGGCTACAGGCTAGCTCCGACCCTCACTCCCTTGCTTCGCTCCCACTCGGACTCTTACCTGGACTTATTTAGGAAGCATGGGCACCTCTCATGCTCAAATGAGAGTTGTGGCCTACACCTCCAGCCTATATACGCTGGAACAGGTGCACCGCTTAACCTCTAGGCCCCTCCAAGTGCCTCTAGGTGGAGCGAGGTACCCCAAAGGCCAAATTTTTGGTTTTGGCCTCCCTGGGGGTACCCCGGCCTCATTTTGGCCGGGTACATGCAGCCCGAGAGGCTGGTACCCTCTCGGACTACCCCTTGGCCTACCCCGGCCTCTTTTTACCTCAAAAAGTGTTGCCTTTTGGGGTACGCTTTCCGAAAATGCAGCCTTTACTGAAAATTGAGGGCCTCAAGGCCCATTTTTCGCCTTTTTCTCCGTCTAGGCCTCCTTTGGCTAGGCCATTGCATTTTTTCAAGTGGCGGCATAGATCTCAGCCTTGGATTTGGCTGAGATCTATGGTCCTCATCATTTTGAGTTACTCCAAGCCCCCCTTTGCTCCAAATTTGAGTCTTTTGCTCCAATTTTCAATTTTTTTGTTGTACCTGGCCGAAACCTTGGGCCAAATTCGCAGTTTTGTCTTGTTCCTCTCTTCGTTTTCGCTCCATTTTGCTGCCAACTCATTGCGGAGCTAGCCGTTTTGTGTCAGCCCACAAAAAACAGCTAGATCTCCTCCTCCGCAAGATCAGATCTCAGATCTAAGGCCCAAAAATGAGCTGGCCAACTCACATCAACATTTATTTTTATTTTTTTTTGCTTAAATTCAGATATTGCAGAGATAATGCCCCAAGGACCTTATCTCTGCAATCCGGACTGCCCTCCTAGGATCTAGGAGGGATGAGGTCATCATTGAGCCCTGCTAGTCCCTACCGCTGCAGTCCCAACCTGGCGGCACTTTTTCCTCCACTCCTTCCTCCTCCTTTGTCTCATTCTCCCCCCTTTTTCTCCTTTGTTTTCTCATTTACTATTGGGACAAGTGTCCAACAACTATTTCTCCTTTTTCTAGCTGTTGGACCTTTCCCAAGGCCTGATTTGCAGCCGGCATATGGCCGTTGCACCTCGGACTGCAGTAGTGGCACCCCCAAGGCCAAAGGGGGCTTCTTTTTGCTGCCGCTGCTTCTAGTTTTGAGACGCCCTTGCTCCGATTTTCTCCGTCCAACCTTTTTTCCACGCGGAGCCTTTGGAACTTCGTTTTTCTTGGCCTGGCTGATCCGGGATACTCGGACTGTTGGCCGGCCCCTTTTACCGCCGCTACTCCATCTTTTCTTTCCCCTTGGCACCTCCCGCCAGCGTTTGCTGTAGCGGCACTTAATGTTTTCATCCGGACTCCCCGGCCCGGCTGATCCCGTCCACCTGACGTCATGCTATTTTATTTTTGTTGTCGTTGCATTTGATCCAGGACCGCCTTGGGTTGCCCCAGGTGCCCTTCGTTTTTCCCGCCTTGCGCTCGTCTTCTCCGTTCTGTCGACAATTCCTGTCGGCGCTCGATTTCTCCTCCTTTTTTCATTTCTCCTAGCCCCTCCTCTTCGTCCGGCGTCATCCGGGGTGACGACCCGCTCTCGCGCGTCCCCCCTCTTGGGCTGGTCGCCAACTACCCTGCCGACGGCATCCGACCTTCGGCCCGTGTCCGCGGCTCCCGACACTTTTTATTCCGTTGATACCCAGTCTGCTAGTGGTTCCGCTGGTGCCGCCATTTTATCTAGGCCCACGTGGTCCCTGACACTTCAGCCTGCCTGCATTACGTCTTTCCGTTGGTCTCACGTGGTTCCCGATCCTTTGCCCCGCCTGTACCATGCCTTTCCTTGGTGCTCGTGACATCCTTCCGCCTTACAGCGATCTCCGCTCCCTGCTTTTATTGCGTCCCGCATGCTATTCCGTTCTAAGTATCGGCTCCCACCTACCCTGCGATCTCCTTGGCCCTCCAGCCGCTGCGTCACGTCAGCGCCTTGCGCCCTGTTTCTTCCCACTTCCTTCCCTTGCTGCGCACCTCCTATGCTACTACCGACTTCCCGGCGGTCCTTCTCCGTCCTTGGGGAAGGAATCGGCCCTGCTATTCTCTCACAGTCCTTTTGCCGCTTTCTGCTTAGACAACCCGTTTCTAGTTTGGCGGCCCTGACGACTCTGGGTAGCCTCTGGCTTCCTACTGTCCGTGTCCATGCTTCCGCTCTTTCCAGCATTCCTGCCTCCGATTTTCTCTATCGTGAACAAATTTGTAAAATACAGTCTCTCGAGTGACGGGAAATCATTCGGGACTCACCAGTCCCGACACCGGGAAGTCGTCGCTCTTAGCTGGTGTATATGTTTCCAGCTTCGAGGCGTGACAGACTGGATGGACCGTCAGATGCGGGGGGATGTTGATCACAAATGAAGGGTCATCGGGCTCATCGCCCGCGACTGATGTTACGGGTCATGGTCCAAACCACTTGGGAAACAGTTTGCGTGAAACATCTTGTTCCAGTACAAACTCTTCCGCGGAGACCCAAACCAGATCACCGGCGCGGATGGGACATGGCACGCGACGCCTGTTGGCTTGCTGCTGCATGCGGACTTGAGCCTTTTGCATATTTGCACGGGCTTGAGGCAGCAACTCCCTGTACTTCCGGACGGAAGCGGGAGAGCAAGCGGCGCCGATGTCGGCTGGTCGTGGGAGGAGAAGGTCGGCGAAGATACGACCTTTCCGTCCACCGTGGTGCAACTCGAATGGAGTCACGCCGATCGTCGGGTGCACCGAAGTGTTGTAGGCGAACTTGATGTCAGGGAGGCGGTCAACCCAATCTTTCTGGTCTGGACGGATGAGCGTACGAAGCATCATTTGAGCGGTTTGATGTGCCCGCTCCGTTTGCTCGTCCGTCTGATGATGCCGAACCGAACTTGGTTTCATCTTCGTGTCGGACTCCTGCATGAGAGCAGTCCAAAATGTCGACAAGAAGCGAGTGTCGCGGTCGCTGACTATGTCTTCCGGTACATCATGGCCGCAAATCCAACTGGTGTGCAATAGGCGTGCCAGCTCGGGAGCCGTGGAGTAGTACTTACAAGGGAGAAAACGCGTATACTTACTCAAACGGTCCACAACCGTTAGGATGCCGTCGTACCCGAGGCGATCACGGGGAAATGGTCCGGTGACATCCATGGCAATGGAGAGGCCGGGTTCCCGTGGGATAGGCATCAGGCGCAACTCGCCGTAGGGGTTGCGATTGCGGGGCTTGCTTCGTCGGCAAACTTCGCAAGAGTCGCAATACCGAGTGACATTGGTAATGAGGTCGGGCCATCGGAATCGTTGTTGAAGCCGTGCAATGGTGCGGTTGACTCCGAAATGGCCGGCGAGTCGCGAGTCATGGTACTCACCGAGAAGGCGAGTACGAAGACGACGGTCTCGTGGGACACACAATAAGTCCTTGCCTCTCGAGTTGAGGAGCAAGTACTCGTCGGCAATGCGATAGTGGCTGGTCGGCGGGTGATCCGAAGATAGCTGCGCGTACAACATGGCGAAGTCCGGATCAAACTCATAGCCCCGGATGAAGTGTCGCTGGAGTTCCTCGTCAAATGCGAAAGCATGATGTGTCATAGTGCAAAGATCAGGTCTTCGCGAAAGTGCATCTGCTGCGCGATTGGAGAGGCCGGGGAGATGTTTCGGTGTGAAGTCAAATTGGTCGATGAAGTACATCCATCGTCCGATCGTGCTGCTCACCGTATCCTGCATCTTGTAGTAGGTCAATGGGTTGTTGTCAGTGACCCATGTGAACCTACGACGCCCAAGGAGGAAGTGCCGCCATCGCTTGAGAGCCATCACGAACGCGAGCAACTCCTTCTTCCTTGCATCATCAAGCGAATTGATGGGAGGCACTTTGTGGCTGAAATACTCCACAGGGTGCCAGTCGTCACCATCGTGTTGTTCCAAGACTGCCCCAATGCCATAGCTGGAAGCGTCAGTTGTCACTCTCGTAGGCAGGGTGGGGTCATAGATGCTAAGGACGGGTGCCATGAGCATGACCGTCTTAAGTGCTTGGAATGACGGGCGTGCGTCGTCATCGAATACGAATGGCACCTTTGGCGATTGTAATATCGTCATAGGTGCAGCAATCCTTGAGTACCCGGTGATGAATCGCTGATAGTAGCCCGCCAACCCCATGAATGAACGGACGTCCGTGGTGTTGGTGGGCTCGGGCCATACGCGGAGGGCCTCGATCTTGTCCGCAAGCGGACGAATGCCTTGCGGCGTCACATAATGTCCCAAGTACTCCAGCTCCTGCCACGCGAATTTGCATTTGTCGCGGTTGGCTTTGTACTTGGCTTGTCGTAGCCGCTCCAAAACGGTGCGCAGGTGTTCCACATGCTCGTCCAAACTCCGGCTGTACACCAGGATGTCGTCGAGGTAGATAAGTACGAATCGATCCAGCATGTGTCGGAACTCCGTTGTCATAGCTGCTTGGAAAGTGGCCGGGGCATCCGTAAGGCCAAATGGCATAACCAGTCATTCGAAATGCCCATATCGCGTTTTAAACGCGGTCTTGTAGCGGTCCTCCTGCCGAATCTCGAGTTGGTGATATCCCAACTTGAGGTCAAGCTTGGAGAAGAACTTCGCGCCGCCCAGCCGTTCGAGAAGGTCGTCGATGCGTGGAAGAGGGCCGGCGTTTCTGACCGTTTGCGCGTTGAGCTTGCGATAATCGATGCATAACGACAAATCCTTGTTCTTCTTCCGGACGAAGAGAACGGGAGCACCGTATAGCGATGAGCTAAACCGAATCCAGCCTTTCTCAAGAAGGTCGTCGAGTTGTGCCCGCAGCACACTTAACTCTTCCTCGCTCATTCGGTAGATGCAACCACGCAAAGGTACAGCCCCGTCCTCGAGGATGATCTCGTGGCGGATGGGCCGATCCGGTACTACTCCGTGCGGGCCTTCGAACACGTCGCCGTAGGCGACGAGAAGCTCGGTGATGCGTGGGTCCGAAGATGAGTCCGTCGATGAAGCATCATGGGGCGGGAGGGCGTGGAGAAAACACACCCCCATCTCCTCGATGTCGTCTCTGATGGTGGAAGCTCACATGCTTGCGGCGGACACCATGTGGCAGCTAATCGAAAGGTGAGGAGGAGGTACCGTGCATGGGACTAGTACTCCGTTCCGATCACGAACGTGAACGGTGCGGCGGTAGAAGTTCACCGGGTGATCCTCGCTTCGCAGCCATGACATGCCCAAGATCATGTCGAATGTGGTGTCCAAGATATCGAAGGACACCGCCTCGCTTGCATGCGGGGCAAAGTACACGGGGACGTCATCTATGCACCGGTCGATTGACTTGTACGTGTGACCGTCTGCCAACGTGACTTGCGTAGGCTGGGACATCCTCCGGACGCGTGGGCCAAGGCCGGCGCATGCCATAAAGTCCTGGCTCATGTAGTTGCGAGATGCTCCGCAATCGATCAAAGTGTTACAGGTCGCCTCTCCAATCTGAATGCGTACATATAACAATGGTGCGTCGATGTCGTCGTACAGTTGTGTCATGAACTCGCGGTCGATCTTCGCAATATAATTGTGAAGGTCGACAACCTCTACTCCGACGTTCATCAACGGAGTTGGTACTGCAGTGTGCAAGGAATCCCGCTATTGTGCCATGAGCACGTTGCAATGCGGTTGCGGCAATCGACCGGACCGGTGTCGGGACTGGAGAGTCCCGAATGACTTCCCGTCACTCGAGAGACTGTATATGGTTAATTTGTGCACGACAGAGAAAACCGAAGGCAAGAAGGATGGAAGGATCAAGGCTCAGGCATAGTTGCTAGGAACCCAGAAGTTGCCCAAAGCCGTCGGGCGGCGGAGGCACGCAAGAAAGTGGCGAAGGCGACCCTTTCCCCGAAACGGAGAAGGACCGCCAAGAAAAGTAGTGGCAAAGGCTGCGTGCTGCAACGAGAGAAAAAAAGCAAGGGAAATGGGTGAATAGGACGTAAGGCGCCGGCGCGAGGGAAACGTTGCCGGGCTAGATAGGCCACTAGGATGAAGCGGCAAGAGGGCCAAGAAAGCCACAAGCTAAGTAGGGGACTACGTGAGACCAAGAGAAGATGTGGTACCGGCGGGACAAAGTGCCGGGGACCACGCGAGACCAAGGGAAGATGTGGTATCGGCGGGACCAAGAGTCGGGGACCACGTGAGACAAAGAGAAGATGTGGTACCGGCGGGATAAAGAGTCGGGGACCACGCGAGACCAAAAGAAGATGTGGTAACGGCGGGACAAAGTGTCGGGGACCACGTGAGATTAAGAGAAGATGTGGTACCGGCGGGGCAAAGTGTCGGGGACCATGCGAGACCAAGGGAAAATGTGGTACCAGCGGGACAAAGTGTCGGGGACCACATGAGACCAAGGGAAGATGTGGTACCAGCGGGACAAAGTGTCGAGGACCACGTGAGATCAAAAGAAGATGTGGTACCGGCGGGACAAAGTGTCGGGGACCACGCGAGACCAAGGAAGGATGTGATACCAGCGTGACAAAGAGCCAGGGACCACGTGAGACCAAGAGAAGATGTGATACCGGCGGGACAAAGTGTCGGGGACCACGTGAGACCAAGAGGAGATGTGGTGCCAGTGGGACAAAGTGCCGAGGACCATGAGGGGCTAAGCAAAAAAATAATAAGTACGGTACTAGCGCGGGACAAGTGTCGGGGGCTAGCGTCGGGGACTAGTAACGGGGACTAGTGCGGGGCAAGTGGCGGGGACCTGTGGCGTCCCAAGGGAAAATTGCGGCAAGGTGTGTGGGGTAAAAAAATAAAAACAAGTTGCGCCGTCAAGATCGGAGATCTTGACGGCCAAATTTATTAGCACCACTAATGCAAGCACTAGTGGGAGCAAGTGGGAGGGCTAAAAGAAAAATAAAAAGTAAGAGAACAGGTAATGGGAGGCATGGGAGCAATCCGAAAAATCTCGGATTGCCCTCCCCCAAGAAAATGGGTCAAACGGAGTCAACATGAGAAAAATTGGCCCCCAGGAAAAAAATCGGTGCAAAGGGGCACTACTGGTTGGAGAAGGGAGGGTTAACGGTGGCTCCCAAGGGCATGGAAGAGCCACAACAGCAATCCAAAAAATTACGGACTGGCCCTTGGGCATGGGAAGGGTCAAAACTAAGAGGAAGAGGTCAGAAAAAGACCCTAACAGCTAGTTGACACTTGGCAAGCGAAAAAAAAAAAAAAAAAAAAAAAAAAAAAAAAAAAAAAAAAAAAAAAGGGAAAAATGAGACAAGGAGGGTGAGAGAGGATGAGTGAGTTGGCCGTCAGTTGGAACTGCAGCAAATAGGGACTGCGAAGTCCCAGCTGTCCACAAGTGGAAGAAAAGAAAAAGAAAAGAAAAGAAAATTGAGAAAAGGGTCTTAACGGCTAATTGACACTTGACATGCACAAAGAAAAAGAAAAGAAAAAGAAAATGGGTGTGGGGGAGGATGAGTGAGCTGGCCGTCAGTTGGGACTGCAGCAAGTAGGGACTGCCAAGTCCCAATTGTCCACAAGTGGAAGGAAAAGAAAAGAAAAAGAAAAGAAAAAGAAAAGTAAAAGAGGGAAAGTCAAAAGGGCACTAACGGACAAAAACGGTCACCTAAGGGAGGGATTTTGGACCAGATTCACTTTGGCAATATGGCGGTTACAAAGGACCTTGATTTTCTTTGATTTATGCAGAGAAAATTAAAAAAAATCAAGACCCCTTGCAATCGAAAAATAACGGATTGCATGGCCAAACACATGTTTTAGGTGCACCGGGAGCCAAAATTGAGGCCGGATGCACTTGGGGAGTGACCGCCTGCTTTTCTTTTGGTAGGGCGCTGGTTGAGGGGCACTAGGACAATGAAAACAGCCCCTACTGCAGTCCGAGTTACAACGGACTGCATAAGGAGGGCGCAAACTCAAGATTTTGGGGTTCCGGGAGTAAAAAATGAGCCCGGATGCCTTAGGAAAATTGACGGTTTATTTTCCTTGGGCTTGGGACATGTTGTGGGGCTGTGGGGCTAGCAAGATTGGTGTGAATGCAGTCCGAGAAATTGCGGACTGCACTAGGATGCCCGGGCCAAGGGCAAATGGGCCGCGGCACGCGCGAAAAACATTAGAAAATGACGCCGCGACACTAGGGGAGTGTGACGGTAAAAAAGGAGACGGCACGACGGGGTCCCGAGGCCGGGAGAATATTGACGGCACAAGGGACACATGAAAAAAATAATAAAAAGGGACTGCCGGGGACATGGGAAGTCCCAGATAAAAATTGGGCATCAATCGGGATGACGCCGGGAGCCAAAGGGGCACAAATAAAAATTATCGAGAATCGGGCCTTGTCGATGGCACTGCCGGCGGAACGGAAAAATGAGACTAGTATGGGAAGCGGCGGAGACTTGAGGTGTCTCGGGGAGGAGACCACTAGCCAAGGTGAAAGGTGGCCGTGAGAAGCAAACGGCACCATCGAGATCAAGGATCTCGATGGTTGAAAATATTGGCATCTCTAGTGCCAACACTGGTGGGGCCAAACGGGTGAAAGCCGGAGTGAGGAGCAATAAAAAAATAATAAGGGGAGGATTGCCCAGCGGTCCGAGGTATTTCGGACTAGCTAGGCATGAGAAAATAAGAGCCCAAGGTGTTCCAAGTAAGAAACAGGCTAGCCAGTAAAAATCGGAGCCAAAGGGGCTCAAGATGGAGGCTAACGGGAATGAAATGAGCCCCCTAGAAGCATGGGCATGGCAACTTGGTAGGCCGGGGTGCAACGGCCAACAGCCGGCTGTGGACCTGGCCACAATCAAGGCTCTAAGGCCTAGAAAGAGAGTGCATTACAAATTGCCACATGTCACAAAAAAAATAAGAGAAAAATAAAAGAAAAAGAAAAGAAAAAGAAGAGAAAAAAAAGGGAAAATGAGATAAAATAGGAGGAATGAGTGGAGGAGGGTGTGCCGGCCCATTCGGATGGCTGCAGTAGGGACTGTTAGGTCCCAATGATGACCTCACTCCTCCTAGATTCAAGGAGTGCAGGCCGGATTGCTGAGATATGGCCCTTCGGGCCATATCTCACAAAAATCTGAATTCTAGGGGCAAAAATAAAAAGAAAATGCAAAGGGGAAAATCCGGTTTTCTTTCTAGCCATGGATCAAATCTCATGGTTGAGAGGAAACAACCGTTTTTTGTGGGCTAGCAAAAAATAGCTAGATCCGGAATGAGGTGGCAGCCAAAAATGGAAAGAAACAAAAAAGGGAAAAGGACAAAACAGTGCATTTGGCCCAAAAAGAGAGTCAGATGCACCAAAAATTAAAAAACTGAACTTAGGGGCTCAAAATTGAAGCATGGGCTACTAGGGGGTGGCACGGATTATTGTTGGTCATGGATCTCAGCCAGATCCAAGGCTAAAAGGGTGCCGCCACTTTGAAAAATGGTCCGGCCTACCCAAGGGAGGCCGAAACTTGAAAAAATCAAGAAAACGGTCCGCTAGGCCTTTTTCCTTCAAGTAAAGTTGCCCCTTGGGCATTAGGACCCAAGGGACCAGCATTTGTGAGGGGGAAAAGAGGCTGGAGTAGGCCAAGAGGCAATCCGAGTTGGTACCAACCACTCGGATTGCATGAACCTGGCCAAAAAGAGGCCCAGGTGCCCCTTGAGAGGCCTAAAGGTGAAAATTGGCCTTGGGGGTACCTCGGTTCACCTTGGGGCACTTGGGAGGGCCCAAGGGCTGGCCGGACTGCTGTTCCCAACCTATATAAGCTGGGGATTCAGTCTGCCACACTCACACTTGCATGTGGAGTGCCCATGCTGCCCAAATGAGCCCGTGAGAGCTCTAGAGGTAATTGGATAGTGGTGAGGGGAACCCCTGCCAGTTTGGAAGCTTGAGAGTGACTGTGAGCTAGTACGAAGAGGCTCTACAAGTTAGTGGTAGAGAGGGAGGTAGTCCGCCATAGCTCCCAGGCTAGTGGAGGAGAAGGCAAGACTGAGAGGAGTCTCATTAGCCCTCCTAGAGGGGAGGACTCCCTAGTCTTAATGATAGGAGACCGTAGGTACTCGAAGGAGGTGAGAGAAGGAGGGAGAGAAGGCTTGGAGAGGGAGGTAGCCATAGCCAAGAAAAGGGAGGCTTCATCAAGAAGAAGGCATCCAAG